ACTTTAGTAAAAGTCTTAAAGTTTCTGAAATTTTTTGTACTTAAGTATCAAAAGTAAATTTCTGACACAAAACCTACTTAAGTATTAAAAGTAAAAGTACTGAGTAAAGGTGAGCAGTTAGATTTTCCAAAATGACATTTRTTGGGAGGTGACTTCTCCAAAAAATATTTTTTCTAACAGCGTGCAGCTGTGATGGGTTGTGTACAAGCTAACAGGATGTCAGAATGCTACATATTTATACTTCTCATCCAACTGCAATTAAATTCACTATGGAGGCACAATTGATCAGGAAAGTATTTTTTAAGTAATAACTTGGAATAAAATAGGAGTAACGACTTTCTACTTCTTACCTTTTTTAAAAAATGGAGTGAGTAGAAAGTACAGATAATTGTGTAAAAATGTGTTAAGTAAAAGTAAAAAGTACGCTGAAAAATAAATACTCAAGTAAAGTACAGATAACCAAAATTTCTACTTAAGTACAGTAACAAAGTATTTGTACTTAGTTTATAACTCTGACAATGTGGTTTCTACCCCAGTTTTGGGAACCTTGTTGAATTGTCAGTTTTACTTGTTTAGGCCTAACAATATTTTTCCWCAAGGCATCAATTCTTAAAGTGGTTTTGGTGCACGTGTTTTGTGTCAAAAGTTTTATGGAGAAAACACAAACACGTTAAATTTACCCCAAGTGTCCAAGAAAGCCTCAAAATATGCCTGAACCCTTTTATGAAATGCCCCAATATGTTTGCATCTGATAAATGAATGTGATTTAAAATTATAATCCATGTATTTTAGGAGATAAAAGCCACTTGGGACACATTTGGTCAAACGTTTTTCTAAAAGCATTAAGTGCCTTGAATGTCTCTGAACCACACATGGTGATCTGTTGAACTCCTGCAGGACTATTAGGACACTCACCAAAATCATTCTTGCACAGGTTATCAACGATTTCGTTGTCATTTTCTTCTGTTTCTTTGCAAGCATCGCACACCCTGGGCACTGAAAGACAAACAGGATGAATTTGACAAGATTTCCAATAACGGAACACAGCCCTTTATTTTCAGAAGACGCGCGCACAATAGTGTTTTCGATTCAGTTGTGCRTGCGCCTTTACGCACACGATCTGCATGGTGAAACATCGCTCCAAATCAGAATTGAACCGAACCTCACCCTCTTTGGTGACAGGAACGACGTTCTCCGCGCTGGCAGGTGGGATGCACAGGTCGTTGTCCTGCGGGAAACGGTCACATTCGAACATCTCCGGCCACGGGAAGCCGAACGAGTACATGAGGGGCGCGCACCCTCGCCGGACGCTCTCGCACAGCGACCTGCACGGCTGGATGGGCTCGTCCAGGTCGTCCAGGCAGACGGGAGCGAACAGCGAGCAGAGGAACTTCCTGGTGTCGGGGTGACACTGCTTCTGGACCAGGGGGATCCAAGAGGAAGCCTGCTGCAGGACTTCATTCATGGTTTCGTGTCCGAGCAGGTTCGGCAGACGCATCTCCGTGTATTCTATGTCGTGGCAGAGCATGAGGTTGGTGGGAATCTGCTTACAGTTGTTCTTTTTGTAGAACAAGTCGTGCTGGCCAAAGTTGTACAGTCCGTGCATGGCTTCCGTGCAGGGGGTTGTTATCACCCACAAAATGGTCAGAGTGGGAATAAAGGCTCTCATTTTGTTTGGGCGTAAAAAATGCAAAATAAAATAAAATGAAATAAAAACCTTCAGGCTTTGTGGAACATCAGTTAGGATGAAGCGTCTGTCAGTGACCAGGTCCTGCTGGTAACTGGACTTTTTCCTCCAGACATCATGGGAGGAGTCTGCAGCTTGGTGCGTAAAGACCTTTTTTTTTTTTTTTTCATTCAGCTGAACTTGGTTTCCTGATGTCAAGTGAACATGGTAGACAAATTTGTCTTCTCAGGCTCTCCAACTTTCTCCACTGCGCCTCAGAGACATAATGGTATTTAATTGTGGTTCTCTCTTTTTTTTTTATCACCAGTCGTTTTCCCTTTGACAGTTTTCCCTCCATTTATTCCTGCCCCGCATGGAATCATAACAGAATCTGTCTGACAGGTTTTCCTCATTACGCCCCCAAATCAGCAGAAACACACCCTGAGTGATCCTTTTTGGCGCACTGTAAATAGTGGGGGTGGAGGAGGAGGTGGGGTGAGGCGGGTGGGTGTCAGTAGGGGCATTTAGCTCTGTTCAGTGG